AACGGGAACGGGGTTGTCGGGATGTGGAGAAACGGAAGCCCTCGTGAGTTGGGGGGGATTTAATTGGTGCCACCGCTGTGAAAAACCACTTGGAGGTTCCTCAAAATATTAATGTATCTATCATACGACCCAGCCCCTCCCACTTACATGTATTTAAAAGACAAAATCACTAAAAAAACAGATATGCCCCCCCCTCCCGTGTCCACTGCAGCATAATTTAACATCCAAGACATGGGAACAGCCTAAGTGCTCCATGACGGACGAATGGATAAAGAAATGTATACGTAGCCCATGGAATACCGCTCAGCCACGGAAAAGGAGGAGATTGTGCCGTTCGAGACAACTTGGGTGGCTCTGCAGGGCTTCTGCCAAGTGAGAGGAGAGAGAGAGAGATACCCTGGGCCCTCCCTCACCGCGAGATCTTTTGCCCCTGCTTTTACTGTTACTTGCGTTTATTTTATGCTGAATTTATTCCTGGACCTTAAACTCTTGTCTCCTGGGTTATCTTTGTCTTCCTGCAACCCCCTCTCCTGTGCAGAGCAGTCTGCTCTCGGGCAGGACCGTCAGCTTGGCCCCACGGCCCCACCATGAGCGCTGTCCGCCTCTGGGGCTCTGTTCACCCGACGGGCGCAGTGGCCAGGGAACCCCCATCACACCCTGGAGCTCAGCGATCCTCTGCGCCTCCCCAGTCCCTGCGCCCAGCCCACCATCCGGCCTGGACACACCACCAGCTCCACCCTTGAGGTGATGTGACGGCTCGGGTCGCTTCTGTGGTGTGCCATCTTTGGGGCATCTAGTGGCTTTTCAGAAGAGAAGTGGTCTGTGGATGAGCCCACGAATTTGAAGAAGCCTCCAGCTCTCTCAGGTTGAAGGCTCGCCCGGCCGCACTTGGCACCCAGATCCACCTCCCGGCGCCCCCACGTCTGCCCATGCTCGGGAGCGAAATCTGACGCGTTCCACCAGCATCTGCTCGGGTGTGTCCCCTCCACTCCCCTCCCAGACGGCGGGCTCAGTCATCACGCCTGCGCCCCGCTCTCCTGCCCAGCCTTTCTGCCGTGCTCTCCCGACACCTCTGTTCCCTGGCGCGGGAGGCTCTGCCTCCTCCCTGGCTGGCCGCCCTCCTGGGGCCTCCTGCTCCTCTGCCGCGGGCCTGCAGACTAACATCCTGCGCCCGGGTGCTTGGGCTCTCCAGCGTCCTCACCCTGAGCCTTTCGCCCTGACTCAGGTCTTGGAGACTTTTGACTTTCTCCACCCCAACCTCTGCTGGTGTCGCCACCATTTGTGTGGCTGTCCTGACCGGCTGCCTGAGTGGACGCCGGCTTCCACTCCTCCGCTGTGCTTCTCCAGTCAGTCACCCTCCACCGGGCACCTGCCATCACCCCACCCCACCCCACCCTGCCCCGCCCCGCCCACCCCGCCCCTACAGAGCTGTTTGCCCCAGGGCCTCTTTGTCGCCAGACCCAGGGGACACGGTCTTCAGGGCGTTTACACTGGAGCTGTCTGCTCCACCTCTCGTGGCTTTGTTCAGGGCTGTCTCCCCCCTGTAGTCGTCTCCTAAGCCTCCACGCCCTGCCTTGGTGTGCTGCACCCGACTGCGTGACCCGTAGGCTGCTGCTTCTGACCCTGCTCTTTCTCTTGAGCCCCAACCCACAGGTGTCACCTGACTGGACCTCCAGGAAGGCCCACGTGTCTTCCAGCGTCTCACCTTGAGCCCGTCCTCTGCTTGGATCGGTGTCCCCTGCTCTGCCTCTGTCTCTCCAGGCGGCCGGCCCCCACCCCACCCCAGCCCCTTCTCTTCACCCTCAGGCCTCTCACCTCACCGCTCTCCTCCAGCTGCAGCACCTCGTGGGCCTTCCTGCTCATCCCCCCGCAAGCTGGCCACCGGCCGCAGCACAGGCAGGGGCAGGGACGCGGCCCGCTTGGCACTTAGCAAATTGACATTATTTGTACGTGTCGGCCTCTCCAGACCCTGCAGATGGGGCCTCTGCTTTCGTTCCAGCTGAGGTGCACCACGTGCAGAGTTGAGAGCGCGATGTGGAGGCTCAGCTCCCCAGTGCAGCGGCGGGAGCCCCGCTGTGCCTCAGCCCCCTGCAGGAGTGCCGAGAGGGCCCCTGGGTTGGGGGCAAAGGACTCCACGGGACTTACTCAGAGGCACGTGGGCAGGACAGGGCGGGGTCCTGCAGCCACAGGCCAGCCTGGGCGTCGGGACAGCCTAGCCAGCCAGCTGCCCGCGCCTGCACCTTCCCCAGGAACACCCAGGGGCGCAGCCGCACGCCCGTACCCCGGCGGATGCACCGCGGAGCAGGTGACCGCTGAGCCCTCCTGGCGCCCACAGCGCGCCGCACCCGCGCCCAGGGCCGGCCAGTCTCCTGGGCCGCTGGGGCCTGACTCAGACAGGAGCCAGCTGGAGATATAAAGTGTTTCTTTATTTGGACGCCATTCCACCTGCACTGAAGCTCAAGTCCGGCGGCAGCAGCAGGGATCGTGTTACCAGGTGGGACGATGAACAGCGAGGACACACTCAGACAGGACTTACTAATGGGGTGTGGACGACACCAAGCTAACCTAGACACACACGGCCCTCGGCCCCCGGCCCTTCCCTGCAGAGAACTCCAGAACCACCCGAAGGCCAGCCCTGGGCCCGCAGGGGTTTCCAGTGCCGGGCAGACCCGGCTCCTCCAAAGGCAGGCTGCCCTTCCCCAGTTCACACCGGCAGAGAAGGGCCTGGCCGGAGACTGTCCACCCCGGTCCTCGCCCCTCAGGAAAGCGGTGTTTCCTCTCCGGGCCCTGGGCCCACGCCCGCCCCCCGCAGAAGGACCCCCAGCCGCCACTGTGGGCCAGACACAGACCCAGACCACAGGGCCTTGGCCCGCCCAAGGGTTCCCACGCTGGCGGAGAAGGCGGGGAGCCCGTGGGGGCCTCTCAGCTCCGCTGCCTCCTACCCAGAGCCATCCCGGCCGGGAGCTGCTGCAGTCTCCCCGGAGGCCCGGCCGCCCGCCCAGGTGACAGCGAGGCTCAGCCTCCCTTCCCCTGCCAGTGCCCTGGTCCCAGAGAGCCCTTTGGGGCCCCAGCTGGGCCTGGGCTGCAGCTGCCGGACTATGCTTTGGCCCCACTACCAGCTCTTCCCATGTCCCGGGCCAGCCTCCCACCCTGCTCACCTGCTGCCCCTCTGGGGGGGCAGCGCTGTGGAAGGAGCCCACCCCACGGGGACTCGGCGGCCTGTGTGCACTGACCCCCAGGCCCGGCCGCTCTGTGCTCACCAAAAGGGGCGCAGCTGCCTGGGCCCTGCCTCTGCCTCGACAATGGGCTCTAATGTCTCAGGGGACCTTGGGTGTTGGGCATCCCAGGTGGGGGCCCTCTCCCCTGCCCCCTCCTTTGCCACATCCTTCCCCCCTTCTGACTCCTGCTGCCCGTCTGTCCTGCCCCTTCCCCACCCCCTTCCATCGTCCCGTCCCTCCCTCCCATCCCGGGGCCCCAGCTCTGTCTACCCTCCTGGTCTCCCTTCTCCGTGGGGGGGCCTGGCCTGTCTCAGCCCCAGCTCTCTGCTCCCTCTGCACACCTGTCCCCCCCCCCCGCTCCCCTCCCCTCCCGGTCACTGGCTGGGCACCTGCCCCGCCAGCCCCCCCCCCCCCCCCGGCACTGGGCTTTGGATCGCACTGGCTGCTGGGGGGTGGGGGCAGCAATGCCCAACTGGCAGGGCCAAGCACTGGGGGCGGAAGGGGGTGCCCGAGATAGGGAGGCAGCGTGGGGGTGTCAGGACACGTAGGTTCCAGTCGGGATTCCTACCAAGCCCCAGTCTGATCCCAGTTAGGGTTCAGCCAGGACGCAGGGTGTCTAGGGGCTGTCCGGGAAACCCGAAGCCGCAGCTCCAAGTCCTGTGGAAATGGACACGGTTGGCAACACATGGCGCCCGCACGCCCCGCGCCCCTCCGGCTGAGGCCGCAGGGTGACCTGCCAGCTTCCCCTCCGCCCTGCCCCCATGGCGGGCAAGGCGGCGGCCGGGGCGGCAGCAGGCACTGGAGATGGGGCCGAGCTGCGCCCCAAGTCCCCGAGGCGGGGGGGGGGGACACTGGCCTCCCTCACGGGTCCCTGTCAAGGGTGGGGAGATGCCCCCGGAGTGGGGGGGGAGGAGAAGGCGCCCACGGGCCCCAGCACACACGCACGAGCACACGCGCACACGTACACGCCTTGGCCCCAAGCACTGCCCACGGGCCACAGGCAAGGCGAGAGGTGGGGAAGAGGAGAGGGGGGGACGGGGTGACGAGGCCTGGGGCGGGGGCAGTGGTACCCTGTTCAGAGGTGACCTGCAAGTTCAAGTTATGCAGAAAAGTATCAAAGAGGCAAGACAGTCTCTGCCCCTGGCCGACGCCCTGGCTGGGCAGGCGTGAGCGGGGGGGCGCAAAGGAGTGACACATCCCCCAGCTCCCCACTGGGGGGCCCCTCCCCGACCCCCAGCCCTCACAACAGGGCCAAGAAGTCTGCTGTACAAAACAGGCCAGCGTCGAGGGTCCAGTGTCTGGAGGGACACCCCAGCGTGGGGGAGGCCAGGCCAGCCCCAGGCCCAGCTCCACGCCCACCGGGTGCCGTGAGACAGGAGAGCAGGCGCCCCCTCCTGCTCTCAGCCTCTGGGCGAGCAGCCCCGAGGGCAGCGACCGGGTGGCCAGGGCCCTCTCCGCGGCGCAGCTCGGCTTCCTCTGGGAGAGCTGGACACAGGCTGCAGCTGGGCCAGAGAGGCGCGGGGAAGGCTGGTGGCACCTGGCGCTCCGTGAGGATGTGATGGAACCATCATTAGCAAAAAGAATCAGTAGGAAAGAGTCCTGTCCGCCGGGGGCGGCGCTTGAGGAAGTTTCTGCAGGAGGCAGCGGGATGCAGCCCGGCCGCCGCCCCGAGACCACCAGCCCGGCGGGCAGAGCGCAGTCCAGGCCCAGGCCAGGCCTGCTCCCTTCGGTCAACTGAGGGAGGGGCAGAGGCAGGCCGCCCCCCAGCCCCACCTCTGCAGCGCCCGGGGCTCACAGGCCGGGGCAGGTAGAAGTCGGTCGGAGAGTGTGTCCCTCGGCGCCGGAGCGGGGGCTGCGAGGGCAGGAGACAGGACAAGCCGAGGGCAGGTCGGTCCCGGGTGCGATCCTGGCCTTCAGGGTCCCTGTGAGTGAGCGACGGGGCAGGGGAGGACGCCCCATCCAGAGACGTCGCCCCCCGGCCGCAGCACGGAGCTGACCGTAGAGCCCACGAAATCTGAGAGAGAGAACGAGAAGTCAGGGGCTGTCAGGGCACGGGGGGCCTCGGCCACACCCCAGGACGACACTGGGCAGAGGGGATCGCTGCCCGGGCTCTGAAATCCCAACCTGGAGCTAGAGGGACTCAGGCAGGCCCTTGACCTCTCGAAGCCCAATTTCCTCGTGTGCAAAATGGGGGTACTGGCCTCCTTTGCAGGTGTGTCTGGGGCTAGACAGGCAGGTGCCAGGGTGGACCTGGCAGGTCCGGGCGCGTGCCCAGCTCTTTTTACTTGGGTTTGGGAATCTGACTCAGGACTGAACCGCGAGGGCCCCTCCTCTGGAGACTGGGGCGGGGGGCGGAGTTCCCGGCAGCTGGGGCTGCACATGGGGCTCCCTGGTGACACCGCTGGCCCCAGGGTGCCAGGAAGCTTGGGGAGGGCCCAGAGGAGCGAGTGGCCACCTTGCACAGGTCACTGCCGGAAACCCCTCCAGGGAGGCGACCCTGGGGGCGACCCAGTCCCGGGAGGACTTGGGCTTTGACCTGGGCTTGGTCCAGGCCCTCCAGGCCTCAGCTTCCTCCCCTGTGAAGAGGGCGCGCGGGGACGCCGCAGGGCCTGCGCTGGTGGGAAGCGGAAGGAGGGAGGCGGGTTGGGAGCCGGCCTCAGCCCACCTCCGCCTTCGCGTCCAGGACCCCGAGCTGAGGGACGGAAAAACCTCCCGCCACGGCCCCACGGGCAGGGAGAGGCGGCGTCTCGGGGAGGCAGGAGAGAAAGAAGGCCCCGCTGACCGCCCCAGGAGCGTGGCCGGAGGCAGCGCCATCCCGAGGCGCCCGTGGGCGTCCGGCCCCCGCCTCGAGCACGGCAGGCGCCATGTGAGCCATGAGCTGCAGTGCAGGCCCTTCTGGGGAGCACCCGGCTCGGTGTGCGGAGACCCGGGGGTCCCGGAAGGAACGTGTGAGCTGCTGCCCCTTCTCTGTGAGGCTGCGCCCGGACAGAGAGCGAGAGGTGAGCTTGGCCGGCGTGGGGGCCCCTCGGGCAGCTCTGGGGGTGAGCTGACGCCGGGCAGACCTGTGCTCCCCGCGGCTCCCCGCCCAGGCCCCCGCCTGCCCCGCCGCCCCAGCTGCCGGCTGACCTTCTGACTTCTCTCATTCCTTGCCTTTAAAAACAACTGTCTTCACATGGAAAACACGGACATTTCAACCACACATCCCTTAGCGCGCCTTGGTCGTCACGCTTAATAAAATGTCCCCGTCACCGTCTGGGACGCGCCTTTCCCCTCCGCGTACGTCCCCACGATGCTCCGGCTTAGCCACAGCTGCCAGGCCTTCCTTTCCACCTGACCTGTTCCGGGGAAGCTCTCGCCCCTGTCAGCCCAGCCCCTGGCAGTAAAAGCCATTTACATGCACTTCTGGTGCGTTCCTCAGGGGTCCTGGGCAGGCAAGGTTCAGACTTAGGGACCAGGACAGTGTTTCGGGGGCTCAGGGCGTCTGTGCCCTTCCTAATTTTTGCTTCACTTTTGTGATGCTGAGCCCCCGGCTCCCCCCGCCACTTGCCTTTGTTCTCCTGCTTGAGCTCCTCCTGCAGCAGGTCTGTTTGCCGGTTGCCCAGCACGAAGGCCAGGAAGGACAGGATGAGAGCGTTGAGGATGCCGATGATGGCCAGGATGTAGGCCCAGCGCACCGAACAGTCCCCCAGCGAGTACTTCCCGGTCTTGGTCCCGCACATGTCCCGGATGGTCTCGGCGTCCCAGCCGTCAGGGAAGATCATGCAGCCCAGCACGAGGCACAGAGCTAGGTGCAGGCCCCGCCAGGGCGGGAGGAGAGAGAGCGTGGGTGACCAGCTGGGCCTCCCTCCCGCGTCTCCCACCCAGCAACCCAACAGTGTGTTGGCTGCGTCTTGTGGGTTCCCGAAACCCGGTCGGGGATGGCCTCCCACCTTGGGGAGCAGACACTCCAGAGCCTGCAGAGGGCTCCCCCACAACACACATCCCATCAACCTCTCCTCCAGGAAGCCTTCCCGGAATCAAAAGAAAATCATAAACCACCGTCGGCCCCCTTAAGGGCCTGGCCATGCTCACGTCGCCCACCCTCTCCCACCTGTGGTTGATGTTGCCCTTTCATTCAGCTGCTATCTATTAAGCATCATGTTTCTTCCCCAGCTGCTGGAACTACGTCCGGATCCGCCTGGCTGAGGGCTGCCCCCAGGGAACAGGCTGTGGCCAAGAGGGTCAGCAGCAGGCCCTGTCCAGCACATGGGAAGCACGGCCCAGTGGGCAGCAGGCACCCCGCCCTCTGCACGGTCCGGGCACTCGCCTGCCAGCAGCATCACGCAGACCCCGCCGTTCTCCAGAATGTGGCCTAGAGCCAGCGCCTCACCTTCGAGCCTCAGTTTCGTCTGTGAAATGGCCACAACGGAGGCATCACGTGGCTGTAAAGACTTCAGTGGGAAGCACTGGACCGAAGTCTTGGTGAGTGTGGGCCGTTATTAGTATCAAAAGTAGCCACGTTGTGTTCATGGTCACACAAGCCCGGGACCCTTGGGGGAGGGGCTTGGTTTCAGATCAAAAGAGGCAAAGCCAAGAAGAGCCAGTGGGCCTCTCGGGGACCTCGCTGGCCAGGCTGTCTGTGTTGGGTCTCCCACATGGTGACCCCAAGTCTTGGTCTGGGAGGCTCCTCCCAGCACTGGCTGGGGACCGAGGCTGAGCCAGTCAGTACACGACACTCTGCTCGCTGCCGGCTCAGAGAGGGGCTTGTGCCAGTCAGAACCGACCAGGCTCCCGCTGGCGGTCTCAAGGGCCATCAGTGACCCCATTACTGTGATGTTTCCATGCCAAGCGCAAGGGTGCTTGACCTGGCTTCTGGGTGACAGTGATGACCAAGTGGGGGTGGTGGTCAGTTCTGCCCACTGTCCATAAGGCCCATCTGGCCCCCAGGGTGGGGATGGGGCCCTCGGCTTTGCCGGCTCCCTGGTCCCCCAGTGGCCTGGGCTCAGCACCCCCATCCCAGCACCCAGCATGCTCCTCATTCTACTGCAGACCCCCCGAAAGGGCGTGATGCTCAAGCTGCACGCGCACACATGCACACACACACACAAGCGCGCACACTAGCTGGCCTCCCAGGGCCACTCTCAGCTCGGGTGCCGGCCAAGGGAAGGCTGTGCCGCAGGCCCAGGAGCCCAGCGGTCCGGAGACGCCGTTAGGCCCCTGATGGAGACGCCCAGGGCAGCCAGGGCCGGACTGCAAGTTTGGGAGCTGTGGGCACCTAAGTCCCTGGGACCAGAAATGCCTGTGGAGGGGCAAACCCAGCCTGGTCCTCCCCCTCCCCTGGAGCACCCGGTCTCCACGGAAACACAACAGCATCCTCCCTGCTCTCCAGCTCCCCTCCCCTTGGCAATAGCCCCGCCCAGCCCCCAGAGGCACCCCACCTTCTCCACGCGGCTCTCTCCTCGACACTCCGTGTTTCTCTCCTTAGGAAGTGATAGTCTCCAGTCTAGTCCGTTCCCTTCTCTCCCCACCCCGTCCATCTGTCCTTCCAGCCACCCCGCCCTCCCCCACTAGCAACCAGCCCCCCAGTCTGCCTGGACCCTCCCTCTCCCCTTTTCTGTTTAGATCACTCAGCATCTAACGCTCCTTTTTTCTTCTCTAAGTCTCCCAGCCCTTCCTCTCTCTGCCCCTCTGGAATGCAGAGGTGATGGCTGGGGCCCCGGCAGCCGTCCACAGCGGGGAGGACAGAGCCTCCTGCACGAGTGCCGAGGCGTTCTGAGAGGGGTGAGGGACGTCAGGAGCACCACGCCAGCTCCGGACTGCCTGGCTCGTGAGCCTGGTGCCCGCATGACCAGGGCCTTGCGTCATTAGGCCCAATTATATTTGGGGTTGTCCTGTCACATGCGGCCAGGCCGAGTCCTAACCTGGCATGTGATGTTACTCCTGCGGGTTTTGGACCATGTGCGTGTCCAGGGAGCTTGCTTCCGCGGGCCCCGACTCATCACTCACCTCTCGGAGGTCAGTTTCATTGCCAGAGGAGCAGCCGCTCCCTACCTCTGACGGCCGCAGGGAGACTGCGCGGCCACCACGGTCATGGAACCGTTGTGCACCCCGTCATTTGAAAGGCATGACAGTGACGTGTTCTCTCTGCTTGGAGAACAAGGCAGCACCCATGAATGCTATCAGTGCTTGGCCCTGGCTTGGAGGCTCGTCCTGTGGTGCACACAGGTGTTGGCTGTACCGCACCTTTGTAGCAAAGGGCCGCAAGGTGGACTCAGGGGGACCGGGTCAAATAGAGTACCTGGGTCATAGGCTGCTACAAAGCTATAAAACCCCGGGGGCGTGGCTGTGTAGGTGGCCATGGAAAATCCCCTAAGATGTATATTCAAGGGAAAATCAAGGTCCAGAATGCTACACAGGGTGTGGCCCCATCTATGGTTTGTTTGTATTTATTTTTAAACCTGGGGTGTCTCACGAAGTGTCAGCCTTGAACAGGGGGAGACACACTGGGCCCGGGCATCTCCGTAAGGACTGAGAAAGCTTCCTGAGACGTGATGTCTACTGAGAAGAGCAATCAATTTTTTTTAAAAAAAGGATCCAGTGTTTTCTATGTACCCAACACCGTTCCAACAGCTGGAATTACCCGTTCCTTGTTGCCCCCATTCTGTAGGTGAAGAGAAGGCCCAGGACCAGTGCTGGGCCTGACCCGCCTCTCCTCTCTGAGCTGGGCACAAGCAGGAGCCCTCACGCCAGCACCTGCCCACGCGCCCACAGGAGGCTCCTCTGTCTCCACAAGGAAGATCGTCCAACACCTGCTACAACGTGGCCCGCCCTGGGGACAGGTACCGGACGTAGGGAGATGGGTCACAGAATGACAGACACTGTTTGGCTCCCCTTGTGCGAGGTCCCGAGAGCCACCAGATTCGCAGAACAGAAAGTAGGATGAAGGGGCCAGGGCGGAGCAGGGAGTTAGGGTTTCATGGGGACCCATTTCCTTGGGAAGAAGCAGCATCCTGGAGTCAGCACTGGAGACGGGGCATGCCCCATGGAGGCGCTGGGGGCGTGGGACCAGGCGCCTGGACACAGTGAAAAGGCAAATTTTATGTTGAGGGAGGGAGCGGACACTCAGAAAGTGACGCTTCCCTCAGAGACACACTTGTCAATGCTCAGAGAAAGCCTGGGGAGAGCAGACGTGAAGGCTGAAAGAGACGTGGCTTCTGGACAGGGAGGTGGGAGGGATTTTAGGCCTTTCTGATGTTTCAGCTTTGCAGAGTGAATGAATGTTTCCATCTATTAGTCACGAAAGTTTAAAAAAGCTCATAATTTACACTATTGAATTTTCACAGAGCACACACATGTGCCTACACAAGCTTGGACATCTAGAAGCATTTCTAGAAGGAGGCAGGAGCGATTTACTCACGGTCCCCTCTGAGAGGCGGCCTGGGCGGGAGACGGGGCACTTACTACTTTCGTAATAAAAAGACACTATGTTCTGTCCTCTTCCACCTATGTTAGGCTACGACATCTCCTGACGCCATTAGAAATAATTAAGACACTACAGGATTGTTAAGAGGAAGAACAATGCTTGAGTCTGAGGAATAAAACTAGGGTGAGACCAAGAGGTGAACAGTTAGTCAGAAAATGTGAGATGTACTCGCTGTTTATTTTCTTTAAATCTTGGGCTATCAATGTGCCTTTGTAGGAACCTTTTTAATGAAGCATTTTGCGCTCAGCTATTTTAATAGTTTCATTGCTTCTGGAAGGAGGCCTCTGTTTGGCCTCAGCTGCTCCCTCCATGCCTGACATGCCACAGCTGCTACCCATTATGGGGGTCAGGCTGCTGTCCCGCAGGGCTAAGTCCTTCCGCACTCCAGAGAGCTCACCACAGACGGGACTGGGTTGCCACCAAAGTCACATGTTGGAGCCCTGAACCCCGTACAATGGTATTTGGGGGATAATCAGGATAAGGAGGCATGATGTGGATGGGGCCCCCAGGAGGGTTAGTATCTCCCCTGCCAGGCGAGGACACAGTCGATAAGCCAGGAGAGGCTCTCACCAGATCCAGGCCAGGCTGGCGCCCTGATCTCTAACGTCAGCCTCCAGAACTGTGAAAAATAAATGTCCTGGTGGGCGCCGATTTTCCAGGCAGCCCCAGCTAAGAGGTGGCCAGTCCGATGTGCCACGTTCTGCATTTTTGCCCGGGGCCTTTTACTCCCGGCCCTGCAGATAGAAGGTCAGTGGGATGTGGGGAACCAGTATCAGGGAGGCAGGGGCTTAGAGTCTAAGGAAGCTGAGCCTACGGGGACCCCGGAGCAGCCACAAAACATGCAAACATGTCGACCAAAAGACATGAACTAGAAGGTTCATAGCCCCAGACTGAAAACAACCTAAATGTCTATAGACACTATGGTGGATAAATAAATCATGCGGTCCCATCCAAAGGAACAGTATGCAGCCGTGAAGATTAACAAGGCTGCCACAGAAGACAACTGTGACGAGGGCCTCCCCGGTGGCGCAGCGGTTGAGCGCTGGACTGCGAAGCTGCCCACAGCCTCTGCAGCACCGGTTTGATCCCCGGCCGCCAGGTGAGGGTCCCACATGGCGCGCAGACCTCTCCTGCCGCCCGCTGCTCCCCTCAGCAGTATACTTGGGTCCTTCTGCCTGCTCTGCTCCCCGCTCTGGCTCTGGTGAATTCTCTTGCCCTCCTGCACTTCAGACTGTACCCAGTGCTTGTATAAATAAATTAAAAAAGAAAAAGAAAAAGAAAATTGAGGTTTAAAAAAAAAATGACGACTGCAATGAATCAGT